ATTAGAGATGGTTTCGTAAATCTGTTCTACAATGCAATACAACAAAATGCAGGTCATTTATTATCCGATTGAGATAAAATTTTCCGAAAAATATTTGTTTGACTCAAGGAAGAACCCTGTTGAAAATGGTGATAATCGGATCATTTAGATATAGCTCTTCAACCGATTTTGTTGCACCAAATGGCCGATATCAGTCCAAATGACCTGAATGTTGGCAAATCCAACCGAATGCAGTCCGGAAGCAAGTATATGAAATCAGTTCAGATATAGCTATAGCTCCCATTTATATGTTTCATCGGATTTGGTGTTTAAGTCCCTCGGAAATACATTTGACAAATTTTATCGAAATTGGCTAAGATCGCACAAGGAATCTTGGTACGAAAATGTCCATTTACGTTTCTTTGCGATGCAAACTTTCAAAACGCCGGTGCACGTGTCTTCTTTTCTTAGCTCTACCTTATAATCTGCCGGATTTTCCCCGTAATCATATGTTTTGTGTTGCAGTAAAAATACGAATTGGAGAAAAGTTTATGATCAAACGTAAGCACCCTGTCATATTCCATCACACATTATTTCCGTTTGCATTTCGTTCCTGTAACGTAAATTTAAACAATTTTGTTAAATTCAATCGCTTTAACAATCACCTGCAACATTTGGAATTCTCAATTTCGTAATTATTCGATTGCAAACTTTTGGTCATGTTTTCCATGAATAAAGTTCCGGATGCAATTTTATGCTTGATGGAGCCAATCCCATTAAAATTGGAGAATTAAAAAGTAACGTAACACAGAATCGCACTCGCTTTTAATGAAGTCATGTCAACCAACCATGCATAAGGTAACCGACCGAATAGTCAGTCAGTCAGCAGCAGCAGCCAGGATGGCAGGAAGAATGGAAAGACCTGTTTAAATTGATGCGGCTAACCACACTGCTGCTCAGCAGATGCAAACGAACCATTGATTTTGAAATTATTGTTAGGGCGCATACCGCTCGCTGTTGTAAATCTCCAGCTGGAGGCCAAGGCGGCATAGGAAGCCATGTTGCCGAAAATGCATTCAATGCTGATGCTAATTATTGGAAAACTTAATTAAGCCCTGGGATGTACATTCCTCAAGTTTGAACTTTTAATGTTATTGCTACATTCGTTTCGAAATCTAATTTGGTTGTTGTGCTCTGTAACAAGGGTCTCACATGGAATTGCATTCGATTTCAGGGTGTATTTGTTTTCCCACTCTCCAACCCGAGCGGAAGGGGATTCAAACAGCATTAGAGCAAAAAACATCAAGAATAGCAGAAGCTACTTCAGCAGCACAATCCTAACATTTTATTATGTTCTAATACGTCTAGTTGGTAAGCACTACCTTTCTCCTCGACATCGTCGATGGAAACGACATTTGCCACAGATTGTGTTTGGCAACACAAATGTCGAAGGATAAGCAGCACTTGAAAGCAACGAAGAAAATAAAATTGAGAAAATAACAAAAAGCAATTTTATACTTGATTTCATCCGCAACGAACAACAAAAAGTGATTGCAAAAATTCGAAAATAGGTGAATGTGGTTTGTTGTTTCAATGTTTCAAGCTGCCGGATAAATAAGCCACACAGCACCGCACAAAGTAAGGTGGTGGAGGAGCAAAAACCAGCAGATATTAAGTGAAACATCAGCAGGTTAGCAGTAAAGCAGTCAACGTCTAGACCAAGGACGCTTTAAAGCAAGATTTTAAGTAAAAGTAGAAGCGAGAGAGAGAGAGAGCAATGCCATAGGACATGTAGCATTAAGTTATTCAATATTCTATTGGAAGATTATGTATTTCAATTTAAAGCCCAACAATATTGCACAGCTTCGAATGGCATTAAGATGTTAATAAGAGATTTACTAAATTTATAGTCACCGATGGGGACAAGTCAATTAACGAACGTAATTTTATGTAGAATATTTCTTCTTTGGATACCCTCAACTTAAAATGGAATTTTATGAAATTTTCAGGTATTAAATTGTAAAAATCCGGGGAAAATTAAACAAAAATATTAAGGAATATTTTCGGGTTTTTTTCGGAATATTGATGCAAAAATATTTTGGAATACAATGGAAATAGGGACTTCGTTGGTGACTTATGGTAAAATTTTATGAAGAATATTTCTGTCTTGGACGCCATCCTTTTAAAATGATGATTTGTTGGAGATTTGTGCACAACTCACCCAAAGTACGGCTTTGATCCTAACATGTATATTAATAATAACTAAATTTACAGTTCGGCGGGCCGACTATATGATACTCTACATCACCTTGCATTTTTAGTAGAGCCGTTTATATTAGGAACTTTTGTGAAGTAGATCATACCAACTAAGAACCTCTTTTTTAATTTCAGATCAAAATAAGCGAAAGCAGGGTGATGTTGCCCGAATGTTGCTCTGTGGTATTTTGGCCCATTCACGGCGAAGCGATTGCTTGATGTGAGCGACACTTTGATATTTTTAGTGCCAACCATGCTTTCCAAAATACTCCAGACACAATAGTCCAACGGACTGGTACCTGGAGATTTTGGTGGCCATGGCTTAACCCCAGCTCATTTTTCAATATCTGCCGAATGGAATATTGCGATATGTTCAGCTCACCAGCCATTTTTCGACCACTGCGATGCGGGCTTCGATCAAGTCGCTTTTTTACTTTTCGAACTATTTCTACTGATGTTGCTGTTTTCTTCCGTATACTTCCTTGACGTCGGGCTACGCTACCAGTATTACGGTAACGAGTGATGGTACGAGACACAAAATATTTATTCACATTTAAATGCTGGAGTGCTCTAACGATAGCCACTTTTGATTTTCCAGTCAAATATAAAGAAATCACACTATTATGCTTGAGTTCTATCACGAATAACTTTTTTCTGGAAAATTCTCACCAAAATGCTTTTATACGCTTTTAAGCACTTTAATGAGCTGTCACTTGAATAATTTTAACAGCTGTCGGACGAGTGGTTTAGAAATGACATCAGTCTGAAGTTGGTTGCTGTTTTTTCATCTCACCCTGTATATTGACTTGCGTTATTGTTATTCAAACTTCTCACACCGTTATGGGGGACCTAAGAGCCTGACATGACCTTCCGATTACTTTCTGTATTTTATAAGAGATTTGTGATAAATTTTAAAAAATGTTCCAATGAGCGCGATATATCAGACACGGTGAAACGAAGTATTACACTTCATCTAACACTGGAAAGTTTTTGGAATGGACAAAATTCGAAAGAAAACCGAAAATTTCTTTGAAGTATATAATTATTCAACATTTTGACCCTTTGTTGGGAAGGTACCAAAAGGAGAGAATCAATTTATTCCACCTTCACACCAGATCTTGTGTTAGTGGAACTATTTTAGTGTGTGAAGCTAAGAATGAATCGGAAGCTCATTTCGCATTTAAAGAGAGTTTAGGTTATTTTTTTACTCTTTGTTGGGAAGGTATCAGAATGAGTGCTTCTATATATTCCATCTTCACACCAAATACTGTTTGAGTAGATATATTAAGGTGTGACGAGTTTGAAAGAAGTCGGATGCTCATTCGAGTTTCGAGTGGATATTCAAAATGGTGAACTGTTGCAGAGGGGGTACCAGAAACAGTGAATAAATATATATCATATTCCCACCAGATCTTGTCAATGAAAGTATTGTGATGTATAAAATAAGGCAAGAGACAATCAGATCCATATTTTGCATTAAATGAGAGACATTATTATTCAAAATTTTGACCCTTTGCGGGGAGGTGCCAAAAGGAGTCGTCCTATATATTCCATATTCACATCGGGTCTTGTTTTAGTAGAAATAATGTGAAATTTTAAGAAAATCGGATACTCAATACGTATTTAAAACTCGGTTTGGTTATTCAAAATTTTGACCCTTTGTGGGTGAGGTACCAGAAGGAATGGTCCGATCACTACCATCTTTATAACAAAACTTGTAGTTATAGAAATATTGAGATGCACTAAACTGAATGAAATCGGACAATAATTTCGCGTTTTATGAGCTTCATGTTTATTCAAAATTTTGATCCTTTTTGGGAGAGATACCAAAAGGAGAGGACCGATATATCTCCATCTTCGCACCAGACCTTAGGTTAATAAAAATATTCTGATATGTGTAATTTGAAGACAATCGGACTCTTACATCATATTTTGTAAGAGTTAGAATTATTTAAAATTTTGACCCTTTGTGGGGGAGGTACTTGATGGAGAGTGCCGATATTAACAATTTTCGCACCTGACCTAGCACTGATGCAAATATAAGGATTTGCAAAGGTGGAGCAAAATCGAATTATTCTTTCTATTTCTGTGCATTAAATAGTTGTTTGAAAATTACGACCTTTTGTGGTGGAGGTATCAGAAGGAGTGGACCGATATTGTCCAGTTTTTTAGTTTTATGGTTTGTGGAGGAGGCTATGGAAGTAGTGTGCCGATGTAGCAAGCTCCCTTAAAGAATTATTATGTCATTATTATGTACCTTCCAACAGACGGTACAAGATTGTCAAGATTGTCTCCAAATGTCTTGACACGGATTTGGGACCAAAAATTTAATTTCCGTCTTATTTTCGTGTGGCCCTTTTGAGTAGAAAAACTATAAACTCGTTCGTTTTAGTTCGTATTTTCATTCTTTGGAATTTGTTGTTATAGAATTTTTTTCAAATTTATTTAATGTATTTCATCTCTTCCCCATTGAAAGCTTTAAATATATTTATATTCCCTTGCACATAAAATATTAACGTTCCTTGCTCTCTCTCTCCCACTCTTTTATTTCTGACAATAAATTTCAGGTTTATGATGTAAATGCAACCGGACTACATTAAATAACTGCTAACATTTATTCCATCAGCTTTAATGTAGTTCGTGTTATTTCAGCTTTCGCCGGCTAACTCTGGCATAGTTTCAGTTATCGCTTGACATGCACTTTATGCTGGGGAAATTGCCATCACTTCCATTCCCCCCATCATTTATCCATGACTGACACTTACCTGAATTTGTCCAATGATTTTTAGAAAATGTAGAATCAAGTGGAAATTGTTGCTGCTGTTGTTGTAGATGCTGCTGGTGCTTTGCACTGTTTGTCGTACTGGTGTAACTGCCGGCAGTGCTGCTGCCACTGTGAGTTTTTGTGCTCCTCATAAAATTTTTGAACGATGGCAATGCACTGGAACTGAGTCCCATGGCAGTGGGGCTGGTCTGGCGAGTGCTGCCAGTGAATTTTGAATGCATGCCATATCCAGTGGTCCGGTGGTGTTGGGTTGTGTGCGGCAACAAATGGACTGTGGGCGTTGTTATTGTGGGACTGAGGGGGTGTGTGCTACTGCTAATGCTGTTTTTGAGATTGCTCATAATTCTGGACGTCTTCGTGTTATGAAAACCGGATGATGTTGTTGATATTAATGTAGGATATGCTGCTGCTGCTGCCGTTTGAGATGACGATGACGACGACGACAATGACGGCGAAAAGGCTGAAGGCTGTAATGAAGTGGCCAAGGATGTGGAGAATGATGGTAATGAAGACATTTGTGTACCACCGGCTCCTTCAAATGATGATGACGACGACGACGACGGCAACGAGGACGAGGCAAATGTTGTACGTGTCGTATCGAAAGCATTGAATTGGAAACTCTCTACAAATGCCACAGTTGCTCCACCAACTGCTGTTGTCTGGCTTTGTGGTAGGGCCACTGCTACGGCCGTAACTCTTTTGTTAGTTTATCTGGCCATTCAAAGTAAACCAAAATCGTGGCATTTCGATGAAAAGAACGAAGGCAATGCAAAAAGAGGGGAAAAAAAACACAGAGGAAGAGAAGAAAGAAAACATGTAATGCAATTAGAGAATAAAATTCAGCTTAATAAATGTGGAGCAATAATTTTAAGTATGACGACCAATGTTGTAAAGGGCATTTCAGGATGGGGTGAGGGAATTTATATATTTTTGAAATTGCAAATCCAGAAAAAAAGCTCTTATGTTTGGGTTCAATTATGACAGAATACGTGTCAAAATTGGACAAATATCATTATGTAACATTGTAATTGCCATGTAATCAAAGGAAACTAAAGATTGGCACATGTCAGTCTTTTGTCAATAGGCTGATCAAGTTCGAATATGGGCTATGTCGGTCCACAATACCATATAATGTTACCCCCCGATATTCGGCATTTTAATGATTTTAGCCACATTTTTCGATGGAATTATCTGAACTTCTACACAAGGAGTTCTTTCTAAGTGCTTTACTCCCTGGACGAGATTTGTCTATATAGGTCCATGATATCGTATATTTGATGATTGTAGACACATTTTTCAATAGAGTTGTCTGAAAATCTACACAAAGTGTTTCTTCTGAGTACTCTACGTCTTTATAGGTCCATACAATGGCACCCTCCGATATTCGGTATTATTATGATTTTAGTGACAGTATTCACCGCATTTTTTTTAATTTCCTATATGAAGTTCGTAATGGGTACTGCAACCTATGATGGAAAATTTCTATGCAGGTCCATCACTTTGTATAGCTCAAATATAATTGTTTTCATTTGACCGGCATTTTTCGGCGGATTTTTTTTTTAATATTTCGTGTTGCTTCTCATTGGTAGAGGGTAAAAAAAGGTTCGGCCGCCCAAACTTTTTTACTTTTTTTAATTCGTACGAGAACGGTACGAAAAAGAAAAAGAAAGCTAGAACTCTTTGGTATTTGATATAAAGGTCACTGATGAAGAGTATGGTGGGAACGGATGAACCTGGAATCCTGAAATTTGAAATTAATATTACTGCAGGAGTGTAGGATTGGCAGATGGAGGTAGTTTTCGAAAGTTGCACTTATGTGTACGAAAAGTTATAAATGGTACTAAATTTGGTACAATTTTGATTTCGGTGAACCGATAAAGCTGGAATGCTGAAATTTGGAAGTAAGAGTAAGAAGGAAGGAAGAAGAGTACTATTGCATTGTAGGACTAAGGTATCTAGGCAGTTTTGGAAATTGGTACCAATGTGTACATAATTGTACTAAATTTGGTACAATTTTAAATTTAGGAGAACCGATAGAGTTGAAACCCCGAAATTGCGAAATCAAATAACTTTTGTATAGGGGGATTGGGGTATATAGAAAATTTTGGAAAATCGTACTTATATGTACTAAATTTGGTATAATTTATATTTTGCGAGAGCCGGAGAATAAGAATTTTGAATAAGATTTATATTGGATTGTATGATGTAGGTAGTGTGTACTTATGTGTACTAAATTTGGTACAATTAAAATATTGGTAGAAGCAAAAGAGATGGAATCTTGAAAATCGGAAATTTGATTTCTATTGGATGATTGTATGATGTAGGTAGTTATGGAAATGTGTTCTTATGTGTGGCAAGTGGTTCCTGAAATTTGGAAATACAATTGCTGTCGGAGTGTGGGATTGGGATATGGAGGCAGTTTTGGAAATTTGTACTTATATGTACTCATCTTTACTACATTATTTACAATTTTGATTTGGGTGATCCAATAGAGCTGGTATCCTAAAATTTGGAAATAGAATTACTTTAGTATAACGTAAGTTTGGGAATTGGTATTGGTATAAAGAGGTGTTTTGATTTGTGTACTAAATGTAAAAACTGTACAAAATAGTACTAAATTCAGCACAATTTGGTTTTGGTATTTGGGTATATGCTGGTGGGTTTGGAAATGCGTTTTGCAAGCGTATGAAATGTACTAAATGGGACTAAATTTGGTACATCCGAAATTCGGCATTAAGTCAGTATTAGTATGTAGCGTTGTGATTTGGAGGTAGTTTCGGAAATAACATACGATCTAAAAATTAATTATTTGTATTCAATTTGATATTTGAGTAAGGGATTGAGTTGAAAATAATGGGAGTGGATTTGAAAATACCTACCAAAAAGGTTCGAAAATACTAAATAGTATTAACTTTGGTGTTGGGGCAGTATAGAGCTGCAAATATGAAATTTAGTGTTGTGTAAATAGAGAAACTACCGCGTGTTTTCAAATTCTAACAATACGTGCACCAAAAGTTCTAAAATTTACTAAATTTAGTACCAATTGGAATTATGTGAACGTATAGAGGTAAGATCTTGAAATGTGGTATGAGAATCAATGCTGGGAACTGCAGTTGTTAAGGGAGGTTGTTATGGAATGTGTGTAAGCACGTAAGTGTAAGATCGGCACAAAATGATACTGAATTTGGGACAATTCCGTTTTGGGTAAAAGGAAGAAGCTATTAATTTGATATGTTGGAATTGCGATCACTGCTAGTGGGTAGCGTTGAGATAAAGAGTTGGGGTTGGAAATGTGTTCAGTATTGTAAGAAAGGTAGTAAATGGAACAGGTATTGCTTGAAATCTTAAACTTTATATAAGGGTCACTGTTAGTGTAATGGATGGAGATTTGGAGGTGGTTTTGGAAATACGTACGAAAAATTACTTAATTTGGTATTTGGCTGTGGATCGAGTTGAAAGTCTAACGTTTTCCATTAGGTTCACCTTTTGTGCGGTTTGGCAAATATATATTGGGGGGTTTCGGAAATAAGCATTAAAAAGTGAAATTTATTATAGAAAGTGGCTGATCTGTAAAGCGTACAATATTTTAACGAAAAGTACTAAACTGTTCTAAATTTGGTATATAGACTTAGAAAAGTGTTAGAACTGTACATTTCGCTGTTGAGATCAGTGTGATATATAGTTTTATTAACAAATAAAGAAAAATACAAATCTACGTAGTTTATGTACCTATTTACTGGACAGAAATGTGCTATTTTCTAAACACGTATGAATTTACCTTATGCGAGGTTAGTATTTTGAGATTTATTGAAATTAATCGTTTAATTTATAACAAGAAATTAAGTACTAGGGTGCTTATTTCATACCTTTTATTTGGTATAAAAAATCACACATAAATTCACTTAATATAAATTCCTTCCTCCGCATACGAAGTAGCCGGAATTCGCTAGTTTATGTATATAGAGTTAGTTTCAGAATCGATACCCTTTTAAGCTTCTATTTGTTTGATGGAAAACTAAATATACAAATCTTAAAATATTTCTGTCTCTATTTTCCATCACCCTACTTTGAAAACACCCTCTATTTGACGTGTCATAAGAATTTAAATAAAAAATGAACATCGTAACAATTCTTGTTAAAATTATTAGACTGTGGTTGAATGCTGGAGTGCCTCGGACTGTGAATGTGTTTGGCTGGTTGGCTATTGGCAAAATTTCTGTCCGCCTTTGTTGCTGTTGTTGTTGTTGTTGTATGGGATTTTGTTCTATATCTGCCAATCTCGTTTTTCTTTTCCACACACCAAAAAAAAAGTTAATATAAAATTGAGGCGATTAGTATAACAGGGTTTATTGCAGCGTATAATTTCGGAATCAGCTGAGGCGAAAGAGAACAACAACATTTGATTATTAAATATTTCCTAAGGATGTTTTTTGTGGTCGTTGTTGTTGTTGCTGTATTGCTGCAATTAAGCTTTAGCACAATGTTGATGAAAGTTTGAGTTGTACGCAAAAAATTTGACCAACTTTAATCCATGCATACTTGGAGTGTCAGAATTAAAAATTTAAATCAATATTAAGTTTTTTTCTAACAAAATGGATTATTTATTGGAATTCAGTTTTTGCTAATTCTTGGAAAGAATTATAAAATGAAATTACTACGTTTTTTGAGCCAGAGTATGCAAAAAAAAAAAAAAAAATCTGTGCCGTAATGGGGGTGATCATGTTCACATTATATTAGAGCCTTGGAAACGGAAGAAAATTAATTCTTATGTAAGGCATATTTTCATTCTATTTTCAGCTGGTATCGTGAAATTTGGCATTAGAGTCACTTTTCATGCAAAAGTGTTCAATAAACCAGAGTTTTAAAATATCGACCAAACTTCACTAAATATTCAACAGATCGCCGGGTTAAAATAAATATAGGGTAAGGATAGGTATCAATTTTCGACACTTCGTTTTAAATGGCTAAAATACAAACTAAAATGCACTAAACAAAATAGTATTGATCAATGCCGGAGAGAAATTGTACGAAGAAAGTACAAACAAGTAAAAAAGCGGTAAGTTCGGCCGGGCCGAACTTTGAATACCCGCCACCATTTGGAACGAATAAAATTCTGTTAAAATCTTAAAAATACCGAATGTAACTGTCATATTAGGGTCTATACGACGACATGGACCTGCATACGTAACATTTGTCAAAAGCCATTACAATAATGAAATGCGAAACTTAAAAAAAATCGAATATCGGGAGGTACCGTTATATGGGGGCTCAACATGTACCTGCATAGACAATTTCCTGTCTTGGGCTGTACTATCTTTTACGAACTTCAAATACCAAATTTGAAACAATTCCGTTGAATAAATTCGCTAAAATCAACAAAATACCGAATATAGGGAGGTACAGTTATATGGGGGCTATACGAAGACGTGGACCTACATGGCCCATTTTCAATACCAAAAGTCCTGCAGACATAACATACATTTGAGTAAATTTTCATCAATCTACTTCAATGAGTTCGGAAGCTAGAGTGATTTCCACAGACGTACAGACCGACGGACATCGCTAAATCGACATAGAATTTAATGCTGATCAAGAATATATATACTTTGTGGGGTCCAAAATGTGTATTTCGAGGTGTTACAAACGGAATGACCAACTTAATATACCCTCCATACTATGGTGGAGGGTATAAAAGT